ATGAATAAAATAAAGTATACGCTCGGATGTTCCAAAATATTATTATTAATCATACGTCACAAAGTCTCCAAAATATTTATTAATTTAAAAAAATATATACATTTTTTTTGAGAATAATAAATGAAATTTTCATTTGCATTGCTTAGCCCTTTTTCCAGTAATTAATTATGGCATCAGTAGCTCCATATATTTTCAAAAATATAAATGTCAGCCAAAACAAGTTTACATGTTTCTTTGTTTTTTTAGATTTGTTGCATGCTCGTATCGCTGACTTTTACCCAGCCAATGATTTATGAAATTATTTCCTATTCGACTTCCGTAAAACCAACCAGTGACCGTTTTCTTTTCGCACACAATAAACCATGGCATGTGAGGATGTTTACCTATGTACAGCACATTTAAATACAAATCGTGTTAACTTTATTTGTTTGCATTTCATGTTAAATTGTACTTTTATTAGTCATAAAAACAACTAAATTAGCCAGGGAACAATTAATCAAAATTTTGAGGGAATATTTGTTACAACGAAAATAAAAGGGTTGGAAGTTAGATTTTAGGAAAACACACACATTTTGTAAAACACGTTTCCATAGTTTCCTATTTTTCAAATCTGATTACGGAGTATGATATTAAGGAGAACATTGGTGCGTATGATTGCTGTCAACAGTCATACGCTCCCTTGTAAAGTTAATTATTATAACTAATACGCCCTCGAGTTCCCCGAGCTAAAATTGAGCCGTAAAATTTAATATCAAACGACCTCCAATTTATCGATAAGCTTCCATAATTTTAAAAAATATTTTCTTTAATAAAAAACACATCTCATCAATTGTCTTTTCATCTTAAATATTTCCCCCATATTATCTCTAACCCCTTTTATGGACAATTATGTGTAAGCCTTACAAAGACTATAACATTTAATATCTAATCCTTTCTTCGTTGCTTTTCAAACATCAAAAAAAAAAAAAAAAAAAAAAATTACCCAAGAATGTTATTATATCTTCTACAAAAATAATATTTACCGAAAAGAAAACTAATGCCACACATATCCTCAGCCACTCGTCTCGTTTCACCCCACAAAATAAACACAGACACCCAATACTTCTTCACAAAGTATCGCCTGCAGGGCAACAATACAAATTGCTCGGCACTAAAACAACAACGACAGCATCAAGAGGAACAGCTAAAGCAACAAAATGGCTTACAGATATTATGATAAAATATATGTGTGTATGTATGTGTGGAGGATTATGACAGCCTTTTAAATTTATAGAAGAAAAATTCTAATCTATGGTTCCTCGAATATATTCAATACAAAATATTGCATGAATTTTTTTCTATATTTCTATTGTTTCTATAGAAAAAATTTGGAGAACTTCAGAATAAAAAATTGGAGAACCTCAGTTCGGAATTTTTTCTATAGACAAAATTTGGAGAACCTCAGTTCGGAAAAATTCCTGGAACTTCAATTACCATTTCTTCCTATAGAAAAAAATTCCTGGAACCTCAGTTCCCATTTTGTCCTATAGAAAAACATTACTGGGACCTCAATTCCCATTTTTTCCAATAGAAAAAAATCGTGGAACCTCAGTTCCCATTTTTCCTATAGAAAAAAATTGTGGAACCCCAGTTCCCATTTTTTCCTATACAAAAAAATCGAGGAATCTCAGTTCCCATTTTTTCCCATGGAAAAAATTCGTGGAATCTCAGTTGCCATTTTTTCCTATAGAAAAAAATTCCTGGAGCCTCAGTTCCCAAATTTTTTCTATAGGAAAAATCCCTGGAACCTCAGTTACCAATTTGTTTCTATAGGAAAAAATTCCTGGAAATTCAGTTCCCAATTTTTTTCTATAGAAAAAAATCCTTGGAACCTCAGTTCCCAATTTTTTTCTATAGGAAAAAATCCCTTGAACCTCAGTTCCCAAATTTTCCTATAGGAAAAAATCCCTAGAACATCAGTTTCCAATTTGTTTCTATAAGAAAAAATCCCTGGATCCTCAGTTCCCAACTTGTTTCTATAGGAAAAAAACCCCTGGAATATCAGATCCCAATTTGTTTCTATAGGAAAAAACCCCTGGAACCTCCGTTCCCAAATTTTTCTATAGGAAAAAATCCCTGGAATCTCAGTTCCCAATTTTTTTTCTTTAGGAAAAAATCCCTGGAACCTCAGTTCCTAATTTTTTCTATAGGAAAAAAATCCCTGGAACCTCAGTTCCCAATTTTTTTTCTATAGGAAAAAATCCCTGGAACCTCAGTTCCCAATTTTTTTCTATAGGAAAAAATCCCTTGAACCTCAGTTCCCAAATTTTCCTATAGGAAAAAATCCCTAGAACATCAGTTTCCAATTTGTTTCTATAAGAAAAAATCCCTGGATCCTCAGTTCCCAACTTGTTTCTATAGGAAAAAAAACCCCTGGAACATCAGATCCCAATTTTTTTCTATAGGAAAAAATCCCTGGATCCTCAGTTCCCAATTTTTTTTCTATAGGAAAAAATCCCTGGAACTTCAGTTCTCAATTTGTTTCTATAGAAAAACATTCCTGGAACCTCAGTTCCCAATTTTTTTTTCTATAGGAAAAAATCCCTGGAACCTCAGTTCCCAATTTGTTTCTATAGGAAAAAACCCCTGGAACCTCCGTTCCCAAATTTTTCTATAGGAAAAAATCCCTGGAATCTCAGTTCCCAATTTTTTTTCTTTAGGAAAAAATCCCTGGAACCTCAGTTCCTAATTTTTTCTATAGGAAAAAAATACCTGGAACCTCAGTTCCCAATTTTTTTTATATAGGAAAAAATCCCTGGAACCTCAGTTCCCAATTTTTTTTCTATAGGAAAAAATCCCTGGAACCTCAGTTCCCAATTTATTTCTATAGGAAAAAATCCCTTGAACCTCAGTTCCCAATTTTTTGCTAAAAACCAATGGAACCTCAGTTCCCAATATTTTTCTATAGGAAAAAACCCCTGGAACATCAGATCCCAATTTTTTTCTATAGGAAAAAATCCCTGGAACCTCAGTTCCCAATTTTTTTTCTATAGGAAAAAATCCCTGGAACTTCAGTTCTCAATTTGTTTCTATAGAAAAACATTCCTGGAACCTCAGTTCCCAATTTTTTTTTCTATAGGAAAAAATCCCTGGAACCTCAGTTCCCAATTTGTTTCTATAGGAAAAAACCCCTGGAACCTCCGTTCCCAAATTTTTCTATAGGAAAAAATCCCTGGAATCTCAGTTCCCAATTTTTTTTCTTTAGGAAAAAATCCCTGGAACCTCAGTTCCTAATTTTTTCTATAGGAAAAAAATCCCTGGAACCTCAGTTCCCAATTTTTTTTCTATAGGAAAAAATCCCTGGAACCTCAGTTCCCAATTTTTTTTCTATAGGAAAAAATCCCTGGAACCTCAGTTCCCAATTTATTTCTATAGGAAAAAATCCCTTGAACCTCAGTTCCCAATTTTTTTCTATAGGAAAAAATCCCTGGAAACTCCGTTCCCAATATTTTCCTATAGGAAAAAATCCCTAGAACATCAGTTTCCAATTTGTTTCTATAAGAAAAAATCCCTGGATCCTCAGTTCCCAACTTGTTTCTATAGGAAAAAAAACCCCTGGAACATCAGATCCCAATTTTTTTCTATAGGAAAAAATCCCTGGATCCTCAGTTCCCAATTTTTTTTCTATAGGAAAAAATCCCTGGAACTTCAGTTCTCAATTTGTTTCTATAGAAAAACATTCCTGGAACCTCAGTTCCCAATTTTTTTTTCTATAGGAAAAAATCCCTGGAACCTCAGTTCCCAATTTGTTTCTATAGGAAAAAACCCCTGGAACCTCCGTTCCCAAATTTTTCTATAGGAAAAAATCCCTGGAATCTCAGTTCCCAATTTTTTTTCTTTAGGAAAAAATCCCTGGAACCTCAGTTCCTAATTTTTTCTATAGGAAAAAAATCCCTGGAACCTCAGTTCCCAATTTTTTTTCTATAGGAAAAAATCCCTGGAACCTCAGTTCCCAATTTTTTTTCTATAGGAAAAAATCCCTGGAACCTCAGTTCCCAATTTATTTCTATAGGAAAAAATCCCTTGAACCTCAGTTCCCAATTTTTTGCTAAAAACCAATGGAACCTCAGTTCCCAATATTTTTCTATAGGAAAAAACCCCTGGAACATCAGATCCCAATTTTTTTCTATAGGAAAAAATCCCTGGAACCTCAGTTCCCAATTTTTTTTCTATAGGAAAAAATCCCTGGAACTTCAGTTCTCAATTTGTTTCTATAGAAAAACATTCCTGGAACCTCAGTTCCCAATTTTTTTTTCTATAGGAAAAAATCCCTGGAACCTCAGTTCCCAATTTGTTTCTATAGGAAAAAACCCCTGGAACCTCCGTTCCCAAATTTTTCTATAGGAAAAAATCCCTGGAATCTCAGTTCCCAATTTTTTTTCTTTAGGAAAAAATCCCTGGAACCTCAGTTCCTAATTTTTTCTATAGGAAAAAAATCCCTGGAACCTCAGTTCCCAATTTTTTTTCTATAGGAAAAAATCCCTGGAACCTCAGTTCCCAATTTTTTTTCTATAGGAAAAAATCCCTGGAACCTCAGTTCCCAATTTATTTCTATAGGAAAAAATCCCTTGAACCTCAGTTCCCAATTTTTTTCTATAGGAAAAAATCCCTGGAAACTCCGTTCCCAATATTTTTTTATAGGAAAAAATCCCTGGAACTTCAGTTCTCAATTTGTTTCTATAGAAAAACATTCCTGGAACCTCAGTTCCCAATTTTTTTTCTATAGGAAAAAATCCCTGTAACCTCAGTTCCCAATTTGTTTCTATAGGAAAAAACCCCTGGAACCTCCGTTCCCAAATTTTTCTATAGGAAAAAATCCCTGGAACCTCAGTTCTCGATTTTTTTCTATAGGAAAAAACCTGGAACCTCAGTTCCCAATTTTTTCTATAGGAAAAAATCCCTGGAACCTAAATCAAATTATCATTAAAATAAAATAGAACCATAAAAAATTAACAACTTACCCCATGTTTATGCTGATTTTCAAATTCACATTGATGCTGATGATGATGATCCCTTAGGCCATAGCTGGCATCCTTCTCCGACAAATGGCCCTGTTTGTGTTTTTGTGATTTTTGTCCACATCCATCATTGGCGATGTGGTCATCAACATCGGCGTCGACATCACTGTCTTCACCATCCGCACCACCTGCACCTCCACCATCACGATGTCTTCTATGGCCACCATTATCGTGAACATATTGTGGCCCACGGCAACACAGCCGTGCATAGGTACACTGTAGTGCCTCGGCCAGGATGGCACCCAGACTGGAGAGACACATCAGCATTAGTGGTACTCCAATTAAAGCATAAAAGATCGTGGCAATTTTACCGCCAGTGGTACGCGGTGTTAGACTGCCATGACCTGTCGTTCGTTCAAAGGTTTACATCAAAGTCGGTAGAAGATGAAAAGAAAGAAATAGAGGATAGAAAAAAAATGACAAAATGAAACGTTTTAGTTTTTTCTTCTTCTTTATGCTGCAGGGCAGAAAATAAAAATATTTTTTTATAGCAGACAGCAAGCGATGTTTGTTATTGTTGTTGTTGTTATTTTTTATCTAAGCTAGTATAACAGTTACAGGCTATGGATAAATAACATTGAGATTTTAATCGAAAATTATAAGAAGAGGAAAAGAAGATGAGAGGAAACAACAAAACGGCTTCTAAGGAAGCGTAAATAATTGTTTAGAAGAAGACGAAGAAGAAGGGAGATTTTCTTGAAACCTGAGGATGAGATGCTAAGGACTTTAAAGGCTCCGAAGGTTAGCCAAGGAGAATAAAGATTAAATAGTTTGCCTGAGGGTTAGTTCATATTTCATTTTATGGCGGAAGGTTAAATAAACAAAGGAGAATGATAAACAAATATATAAACAAGACACAGCGAGTATAAAAAATCTAAGGGTAAATGCCAATAGAAAAAAAATTCCTAAACCTCAGTTCCGATTTTTTTGCTATAAAAAATTCGTGGAACCTCAGTTCCTATTTTTTCAAAAGAAAAAAAATTACTGGAACCTCAGTTTTCAGTCAGTTATTTTATTTAAATTATCTCCTTCCTCTGTTTGTCCTCATATTCCTCTATTATTAATAATCCTAATCCCTCAAAAGTAACTAAGCGACTGCGAACAAAGAATCCGACGACTGTGTAATTCTTCGCCAAAACTTTGTTTCATTAAAAATCATAAAAATTTAATTAGCTTCATGTTATTTTCTCTCATTTCCATGTTTTTCCTGCCCTTCATTCCGCGCGAATTTTTGCCAACCACAATATGGCAAAGCATAGCAACATGGTTATAACTGGGAAGAAAAAAATGGGTTTATGGTTTCAGAATTTTTTTCTCTCCCGTTCGAAACGTCATGCATTATAATTTTGCTATTTGCTAACTATGATTTTTTCTTCGTTTGCTGGCATTTCAGTTTCATATTTTGTAGTTGTTGTTGAATTTTTTCTCTGTTACGGTTTCAATTTTTACGCACCAATAGTTGTTATCACAGTTACGGAATACAGCAATGCTTCACTGAACGACCATTTCGTTGCGGTAAAATCATTGTTTTCCATCGGATAATTGCCACCGAAACGACCCACAGATGTTGTTGTTGATATATCTGTGGCTAGACCGCCACTGCCACCGCCCAGTGACGAAGAGGAGGATGCGGAGGACGAGGATGCTCCAGCTGCACCTGCTATGGTACCGGCATTGCCACCATTGCGTGTGGCAGCCACTATTGTACCCTCGAAACGTCTCAATTGTTCGTGTACCAACATTGTCCAGTTGCGTTCATAGAGGACATTCAATTTTTCTGAAAATAGGAAGAGAGAGAGAGAGAGAGAGAGAGAACATGATGTAAATGCTAGCCAAACTAAATCAATTAAAAATAAAAATTAATGACAATATAAATTTTTTTCAGATCTAAAAATTGGTGTAGATCTTTTAAAAATATGATTTCAGGGCCTAGAAATAGGCGTAATTTTATTTTCAAATATTTTTCATGTCCTACATTTAGGAGTGGATTAAGATTAGTAAAAAACATATAAAAATACTTTCTAAGGAATCCACGCCTAAATCTGGGCCTTAGAAAACTTTTGGTCTTTAGTGCACAATGTACATTAAATCGGACCAAAATATATATGGGAGCTATATCTAAATATGAACCGATTTTATCGAAACTTAACACTCATCGTTCTAGACCTAATTCAGTACGATGTGCCTAATTTCGTGCAAATCGAAGGATATATAAGGACTTTCGTGCACTATTTACCTCAAATCGGACTAAAATATATATGGGAGCTATATCGAAATCTGAACCGATTTTCACGAAACTTAGCACACAACATTCCAGACCTAATTCAGTAGGTTATACCAAATTTCGTGCAAATCGAAAAAGATATAGGGACTTTGGTACACCATTTACCTAAAATCGGACAAAACTATATATGGGAGCTATATCTAAATCTGAACCCATTTTCACGAAACTTTGCATATATCATTCTGAACCTAATTCAGAACTCTATGCCAAATTTCATGCAAATCGAAAGATATATAGGGTCTTTGGTGCACCATTTACCTTATATCGGACGAAAATATATATGAAAGATATATCTAATCTGACCAGATTTTAACGAAACTTAGCACACATCATGCTATGCTTAACGCAGTATGCTGTGCCAAATTTCGTGCAAATCGAAGGATATATAGGGACTTTGGTGCACTATTTACATCAAATCGGACGACAATATATATGGGAGCTATATATAAATCTGACCCGATTTTCTCGAAACTTGACACATATCATTCTAGCCTCAATTCAGTATACTATGCAAAATTTCGTGCAAATCGAAAGATATGTGGGGACTTTGGAGTCCTATTTACCTTAAATCTGACGAAAATATATATGTGAGCTATATCTAAATCTCAACCAATTTTCAAGAAACGTAGCACACCTCTGTCTAGACTAAATTCAGTACGATATGCCGAATTTCGTGGAAATCGAAAGATATTTAGGGACTTTGGTGCACCATTTTCTTAAATCGGACGAACATATATATGGGAGCTATATCTAAATCTGAACCGATTTTCACGAAACTTAGCACACCCCTATCTAGACTTAATTCAGTACGCTGTGCCTAATTTCGTGCCAATCGAAGGATATATAGAGGCTTTGGTGCACCATTTACCTTAAATCGGACGAAAATATACATGGGAGCTATATCGAAATCTGAACGGATTTTCTCGAAACTTGACACACATCATTCTAGCTTAAATTCAATGTTCTATGCAAAATTTCGTTCAAATCGAAAGATATATAGGGTCTTTGGTCCACCATTTACATAAAATCGTAGAAAACTATATATGGGACCTCTATCGAAATCTGATGCCATTTTCACGAAACTTTGCACACATCATTCTGGACCTAATTCAGATCTCTATGCCAAATTTCATGCAAATCGAAAGATATATGGGGACTTTGATGGACAATTTTCCTTAAATCGGACAAAAATGTATACAGGAGATCTATCTAAATCTGAACCGATTTTTCCTAATTTCAATAGGGTTCGTCCTTGGGCCAAATAAGTAAACTGTGCTAAATTTCAGCAAAATCAGGTTATAAATGCGACGTGTACTTTGTTTACAATTTTACATGGACAGACAGACAGACGGACGGACCTGTCTAAATCGACTCAGAAAGTGATTCTATGCATATTCTCAAAATGAACCATGGGTCTATCTCGATTCCTTTTGCATGTTACAAACATATGCACAAAGACCTAATAACCTGTACCACAGTGTGGTGAAGGGTATAAAAATATTTGTAAGGAATCCACGTCTAAATCTACGATTTAAAAAAATATGTTTTAGGCATCCGCGCCTAAATCTAGACCTTAAAAACATTTTTAAGGAAATCAGGACTAAATCTTGGCCTTAAACAAATATTTTTAAGGAAATCACGATTAAATCTAGGCCTTAATAATGTTCTAAAAAAATCCACGCCTTGTATAGACCCCGAAAATAAATTTTTAATACATCCATGTAAGCCCTTATAAATAGTTTTAAAAAATCCAGGCCTGTATGTAGGTCATGAAAAGATAGTTTTAAAAGATGCTCGCTTATATCTGGACCTTGAAAACAATTTTTAAAACTCTACGCCTGTTTATAGGACTTGAAAAAATATTTTTAAAAAATCCACGCCGGTTAATAGGCCAATTTTTTCAACCACCTTTAATTTGTAGCTTTAACACAAACAGCAAGAACGCCAAAACATTAAATCCTTGGTACAACAACAGAAAAAATGCAAATAGAAGACGAAACAAAAACAAATCACTTCAATCCAATTATGTTTAACAAGAGCAGGCAACCAAAACACGTCCTCCGTTTTTATTAAATTACAGCCATTTTCAGAGCCATTCAAAATAATAAGACCTATGGCACTATTTCCGCTGCGGCATCAGCTCAGCACAGACCTCCCTCACACACTCACGCCCCACCACCACCATTAACATTACCTCCAAAACATGGCTCTTAATTGTCTGCAATTTCTCTAAGGAATGAAAGGACGAAAAAACATTCTACAACAAAATATGGATGGAGAACAGCAGCAACTACAACAACAACAAAAAGAACAAAAACGGAACTTTTGCTTAAATTAAAATGAAAATTGTATAATTATTCAAGCACACTCTCATCAGCGTGTTGTAGTTTTCTTTCTCATTTTTATTTCTTGAATTGCTGACAACGTTAACTTTTTTTTTTTAATTTTTATTGTTGGCACACAATGAGGGCGTTGCTCAAAGGTGACTGGCACACAAGCTGCCAGCTTCGCTGCCTGGCTGTTGGGAAGACAAAAGACGTACTGTTTGAGGAAGGAAAGCCACTGTGTTTTTGCCATTACAAATGCATTTAACATTTTGTAAAATTACCCAGCAGGGAGAGATGAAGAGAAGAACTCGTGCAACAGCTTAATTCCACAATAAATCGAAAGAAAGAACAACGACGAAGGCTTGATGACAAGAGAAAATGATATTTTAATACCAAAACAAAAAATATTTAAAATAACATTTTGTAGTGTACTCATTCGAGGCAAGTTAACAAAAGGGGAAAAGAGGGTATTACTTTTTCAAAAAAAAAAAAAAAAATAAAAACGAGTGAGCGGAGCAGTATAGTCGGACGGGGCCGACCATACGATACCCTACACAACTACCACGGAACTCAAATTTTCTGCGGATGTTTATTTCGAGACTGGGCAATACTTCATGATATTTGCACCCTCTTGCCCGATTAGAGGTAAACAGCACCTCTTCCTCACACTGACATATTTTCCGAATATTACGAGTATTCAGTACTGCTATTGTCCAGATTCCTTTCACCGTGGGTTGTGTTGTGATGTTCGGCTTTCATTTGAGGTCTATAGATCGACTCGAAAATAACACCTGTAAATATTTAGGTGTACCTGTAAATATTTAGGTGTAACTCCCACATCCGAGCACATACAACAATATAATTGGTCTTAATTTAAAGGTCAACCACTCCTCTTGGATATAATATCAACTTTTCGGGTATATGTCCTTCAGGGGTAAATATATACGCCATAGAATACAAATTTTGTCATTTTTCACACAAAAGTCAGGGTCCATTTGACCCGCTAAATATTGACCAATCTTTCTCCAAACAGGCATGCTTATTCTTTGGCCCGATCCGCTTCTCCATGCAAAATTTCACGATGTTCGGACCATTGGTTCGGACCTCTGGAGCGACCAGAAAAACCGACAAAAATTTAGTATTTGGTCCATTTCATCCCCTAAATATTAACCGATCTTTCCCAAAAACAATAGGGGTCTTCATTGAACAGAACCCATCCTACATGCAAAATTTCGTGAAGATTGATCCATAACTGTGGCCTGTATCGTGTTTACAAATTATAATGGACAGACGGACGGACGCACGGACACACATGTCTAGATCGACTCAGCTAGTCGAGATATGACGATCGGTATACTTAAAGGTGGGCCTAGGACCAATATTTCGCGGCGTTACAAACATTTGGGGCTGCACAAAGCTATAATACCCTGACAACATAGTTGTGTAGGGTATAAAAATTAAATTAAAACAAATCTGAGCTTTGAGGATAAGGGTTCAGACAATGAGTGGACCTAAAAAAAATCAAAAACATATATAGAAGTGGATTTTTTAAAGATTTTTTTTTCAATGACATCCACAGGACCTCCATATGTGTGAATTTTTAACGAATATTTTTACAAACAAATATTTAGACAGGGATTTGTATTGAATATTTTTTAGGATTATAAGGCGTGAATTTTTTTAAGAATACTTTTTAATTTTTTAAATGCTCTATAAGGTGTGGAATAACAGAAAGACCTTCACATATGTCATTTTAAAACAAGGTTTTTAATAACATTCATAGACTTGTATTAAAAAATTATTTTTTTCAAGGACCTCCATAACATTATATTTTGAAAAAATATTGTTCAAAGACCTTCATAGCTTTCCATTTTAAAAATATATATTTTTGAGAAATATTATTAAAAAATTCCATTAAAAGTAGATTTTTAAAGGATCTTCATAGATATTTAATTTTTATACCCTCCACCATAGTATGGAGGGTACATTAATTTTGTCAATCCGTTTGTAACACATCGAAATATTCATTTCCGACCCTATAAAGTATATATATTCTTGAACAGGGTAAAATTCTAAGACGATCTAGCCATGTCCGTCCGTCTGTCTGTTGTAATCACTCTATCTTCAACAGGAATTGAGATA